TCATGACCCCATGCTGCAAAAAAAATTAAGTCGTTCAGCTGCGGTACCGTTTCGGTGCCTAGCTGCCATGTCGCACAAAGGAGGCGCGAGGGCTGGGATACTACCAGGTCGCCCAAGCCTAGACAGGGGAAGTCGAGAGGCAGAGGTCTGTATTAGTGCAGCGAGTTGTCAGCTAATTGCTTTTTTTCATTAGGGTCTCTAGTGAAACTTGTTAAGGTAAAGCATGTGCTCTATAGCACAGGGGTAACGATGTCACTTCAGTTTTGACAGATTGTCTTCAGCCCAGCGCTCTAGCTACTTCCGAAAGTTGTTCATTAGTGTATTGCCTATTTCACTGTTAATTCCACTGGCAACACTTTGTCGCTTAGCTCCCGTTGCAGTTTATTAAACCGGCGTCCGAAAAATTTTCAGGCGAACCAGCAGGTTTTATCTTAGATACATGCTTGTAGTACCATGATTTACACTCTGCCCTCTCGTAATCTCTCTTTTGAACAACAAACGCGTAATTTTGAACGCACCATCTGTCTTAGTTCAATGGAGAGGTCAGACTGGTCCGAAAAACAATCGGTTCTTTTCTTCCGCAACATTTCTGTTTCTTACAATCCTGAGTCATGTGTCCAACATTGACTCTGTGATCCATGCTCATTCTTAGACACGAATAAGACCTAACTCGATGTGTATACTCCTCATGGCAGGTGATGTATTTTACCCCTTTTCAATAACTGAGTGGATTGGCTTCCCCAGTGGCAGTGACGGAGCAACAGTGAGATACTCGTCCTGGGTCGTTTTAGCCAAAGCACTTCTGAGCGACATCACTAATAAAAATGGGCTCATTACTCTATATTTTTTCATGTATCTGGGTTAGGTGTGTCCACCTTGAAAATTGTACATATCTATCTGAAGTCATCAGCGGGGTTTTGAAACGGGTACCCACTTGACTACTTTCGTTGCACGGGCGTAGGGAGGTCTACCACATGATCTCTTGGTCAACACTTTCAGCCTGTTGACTTCAAAAACACGCGGTTCCAGCCCGTCACTCACACCGGTGAATGGGTACGGAGGTCCTCCAGTACCGGCAAGCAAATCATATAATCTGTGGTTGTGTTTACGTTGGATTAGTAGACTTGCATAGACCTGTTGTGGCGTGCAATTCAGGCGAGTGCCACTGTAGCGAGCGAACGGCGCACGATAGATTGAACGTCACTTCACTGTTGTTATCCATGCTTCTGGCTGTTCGAAGTCTTTTTTGCCGGTTGGTGATCTCAAATGAACGGTCATTAACTACGGCAGTCAAGTAACTATAAGAACGGTTTGCGGTGTCATGTAATAGAAACACCCTGTATCAGGTAGTGGTGTGTCATCCGTGAAATGCAATGGCCATTTGGGACTGAGAGACTTACATAAAAAATCAGTGGTGAGTGCTCTTCCCTACAGCTGACCCGATGATGACTTGTTCGCAAACTGCAGTAGACTCGGGCGTTTAAGTAGTCTGAAATAAGGAGATGGTATCAGCGGCCATTTCGTTGGAAATTTGGGAGACGGTTATTCCGTCCCGGTCGTTAAAAGGACGGATTTAATTGACGGATGTGGTGGCATGGTACCTGTGTACGGTTAGTCATAGTGCAGCTCGACTGGTCATTGTAATCCAAAGAAATGGGAAATTCAAGGAGTATCATCTAATCCATGAGAATGATGCGTAGATACACCACATTTTAGTGCACTCGGTGCAATAGAAACAAACAAGTTAGCAGCCGTTTACTGATAACTCGTGCTTTCGTTTGCACATCCTTTTATCTTGTTGGTAGTGTGAGGAGATTTGGGATTTTTGTGGGGATTTCGTCCTGTAAGTGAAGCCAATCTATGTTGAAAGCCGAGAAGCACAGTGCTTCTCGTATTGTGCTCGCACAGTGCTCGTATACTGTTGCTGGCGCACTATGCACTCTCCAGAACGGCATTCTACTACCGTTGATATCGCAGTAAGTCTAGATGATCACGCTTAGCCAACAGCTAACACCACCCCAGGATTAGTGATCTACCCAGCACCAGCCCTAAAAGGCTTAGACGCCCGTCTACGTGGCGGAATATCATTGTATTGCCACAGCAAATGTGACGACTCATAATTACAAGCCAGAACACACAGAAATCAAATAAACAAAAGAGGATGTCTGAAATTGGGTCTTGACGATTCCAGGGTTGATAAGGTAACCAACAACGTTTGCGCAAGGAGGTACAGTATGTATGACGGCATTCGCAGTTTACCTAGAAGACCTCATCGGTACGAAACATTTCACTGATTGCACGCGGACACAACTGCGAAGATACGTGAAAGAACATGCTTAGGTGTGGAAATGGGACCATTTCGTTTCAGGCCTTGTTTGAAAAGACGAAATTTCTTCACATTTGGGCCAGGAAACAACCAGTCATAGTTAGGTTTCGGATGTCAAACATCATCCACCCTTTAGATATGATACGAGTGTCTATGGTTTTTGATGTTCAGTATACTTATCACCTAAAGTTGATCCCTTTGTTGCGTAGCTAACCTGAGGAGTGGTCATTCGGTAGTTGAGTGGAGGCATAACTGTTGTTTCTTGCACACCACGAGTGACCAATGTATTTTCTCAAGTCGGTGGATGCGCGTTGTTAAGTGAAGTGACGCCGTACAATGATGGACCAAACGAGGCCCTCCGAACACAGGTCACAGATATTTCTTTGTGAGTATGATCAGCAAGAGATTCTCGGATCTTAATGGAATGCTGTCAAGCGGGTGTAGATTAATTATGAAGTAACACTCAACTTCGAATTTTGATGATAGGCTGTTGTATTCAGATCACTCACTATTGTGAAACGTTTATTCTGCTCTTTACTCCGGTTAAACTCCGGACGTTCCTCAATCCCCTGGCGTTTTAAGCTCGTTCACATGCATTATTTTTCCCCTGTGATCAACTAAGCGAACGAATGCGTCCGTCAGCCCCGACCGTCAGTTCCTGACAAGGCTGTCGGTACCTTTGTTGAGCGCATAATTTCAGAACGGCTTGAAGACGTTCTATGGAAGAAATATCCAAATTTTACCGATCCAAAGTGGTACCATTTAACAAATTGTGTTAGTTCCCAATCCAGATGGCATATAACACATGGGTTCTGTCGTAAACAGCTGTTGGTCGTATGTGGATTATGTGACTGAGGTGGAATTTTTCTCACTTTTCGAAACGCGTGACTCGCTTGCTTTTTACGTGTATGCCGTCCATTCGAACTCTGGAGACTAAAGTAACCATAGACGCTTGTGCAGAAGTTCCCACTGTCCACACTGGGAACTAATAACCGTCTGATGACTGAGATGAGTTGCAGCCTTAATTCAAGTCCCTATGCACTCCATCAGACAGATGTATGTGGATCACCGAGTCCTAACAGATGAACAGCGCAACATATTTTTTCTGTACCACGAAAGCTCGATAACCAGTGACGCTCATGTTTTCCGTTTTATTTGTTTAAAAGGCATTCGGACTGCCCACTTTTGATGTCCAAGTTGAAGGCGAAAGTCATATGGTCTTTGGATCCGACCGATTCCACATCATTGCTGATTTAGTCGGTAAGCTCGCTTTTGAGGTCTGTTATTTTCACTTTGACGAGAACCAACTAACTACGTGCGAAGTCCTCCAAGTATTCGCACAAATTCGAACATTTACATAATTATCTCGCATAGTGTGTTTATATTCCATTCCACTACCTCAGTGGATCGTAATCTCGGAATTGACAGACGTCCCGGGAATTTATACGCGACAGGTACTGAGGCGGTGGCACACACGCATTTAAACGTAGCCATTTTCTCTGACCGACGAGCTAATTACAGATATTTCGTCATTTGTTGGTGAAGTAACGGTTAACTGCTTCACACTTCAGGTGATCATGGTTCAGAGCATTTTGATTACTTATTATTCTAAGCGTGTGACATGCATCGGCTGAGATTGGCTATCTAGAAAGGACATAAATTCATATTTCGAATATTCCAAATACTGCTAGTCGCTGACTTGCTTCTTTGCAGTAAGGCCAGCATCCAGTTCAATGAGTATGCGGTAGGAATTTGACATTTTATACATCGAATGCCAGGAAAAACGTCAGAGAACCTTCAGAGTGCAGCAAGACAGACTAACGGCTCACTGATCCTAGCAGTGTGAAATACACATGGGGTTTTTTTTACGAAGACGCTGCGACCCGTCAAGTGAGGACCTGACCGTAAATCAGCGGATGCGATAATTCCAGAGTCATGCGAGCGTTATTTTCCAGACTGTTTTTCGACTCATCGCTCATCGTTCGCTAGCTTTCACCATAGTAGGGAACTTTGCAGTTACAGTCAAACCTTCACTGATAATAAGGAGCATGGCTGAGTACGCTAAAACGCCGGTTGACAAACTAGTGTTCTGTTGGGAATTCCGTTAACAATTAAAGTTCGTTTGCGCATACTTTGCGCACTCAGCGGAGAAACGCGTCAACAGCGCCCTGGGTGGTAATAGAATAAAACTTATCTTGAATTTGTGGACATGAAAGACAAGTCTGATAAACGAAGCTCACCAACAATTGGTTGCAGATATCCACGATAAAAAGCACACAGTAGCCCTCCTCCTCATCAAGACCCTTCACTTGGTCTGGAAATAGCTATCTTCTGTGGGGCATCTACATCCCCACAAAGACCGCCAAATGTCCCCATGACGCGTAATGTTATCCCAACGAAGGACAGGATGTGATTAGTTTTTATTCATTTCTGCTTCAACTGGGTGGCTGAACAATGGCACACCGACAGCAGTGTTCCCCCGACGCGGGTGGGGATCGCACGTGCCGCATGACGCCCATAGTTCGTCAATATTGTGTTGAAAATCCAGTACGGTTGTGTGTTACTTGAAACACGTCTAGACAGCCTCGATACTGTGGTTGTCTCTCAGTAGACAGGACGTTTGCAGTGAAATAGACCCTAATGAGCGCAATTCCAAGTGACTTTTGTACAATCGTGCTAATTCTGGTTGCCATTTTAACGAGCGTAACGAATACCCACCTGAACGAAATACTACTCTCCCTTGACTCAAACCAACATTCAACCGAATGTGTTCGCCATCGAAGAGGTGTTGCGTGAGTGCACTGGGCTTCTTAGTCGACACTACTCTCCTGAAACAAAGACGTAACGGTTGGCTTGAAGTAGACTAACCCTCAATATGTACCGTCGTACTGGGAAGTCCCCATTAGTCTCTTTATTCAGTGTGAACATGACAACCGCTCCTCTTTAAGGGCTTAATCTCCCATTTGTCATTGTGGTGGCCACTCTTGAGGAGATACTGCAAATGATTGCCATATGTGGCGCGTCCGGAGTATGACCTATGAACTGACACCTCAAAAGACCCCGAACATTTGCGTGACTAGTTTTGCTGAGTGGAATTTATGTCGGCCATATTCAGTGGTTATCGTAACTCTCGAAGTAAAACCTCTGAAAGGCGATAGCAGCATTTCTCTGTTCGCTGTGCACAGCATAAATGAATCCCTTGGTTTTCAGTCCAAGAACGTTACTATCTGTTGACTGTGGCCTATTTTCGACACACACACACGTCATGAATGCTAATCGTACCTGTGATTATGTAACTCGGTATCAGAAATACATCTCTTATTAATGGGAATCCCCCATAAGACGCCAAAAGTACCCTTTCCCAGTAGTATCATCTCGTCCGACGGACTGTTACAACTGCTGTTCGAGCACTCTCACGGCTGTAATTCACTTTTTTACAGGTGAACAATATCACGGTCCACTGAATGAACTATCAGCTTTCCGGAAACAAAACCCATCATTAAATGGAAATTGATTCAATGTGCTCAAGAAAAACAATCGAGGAAACTAGTGATTTCCTGTGGTACAAGCTTTGGTAGTATCTTTTCTGACAAAATACACTTTGCGTATAAATTGACTTGAAAGGGTTTTTAGACATCACATGAGCGATTGGACGGATCTATTACGTTTTCTTCACTGTGCCCTGCGTTTTTTCTCTTTGCGGCCTGAAGATCCATGATGTGTAGCTGAACCAAATCCAGCCTCGTTGCTTGTGCCAGTGGCTCTGTTCCCATCATCCGTGACTCTGCGCTTACCCGAACCCGACGGTTTCTTTCGATCACCGAACAACGATACGGATGACAACAACTGACAAATGGAGAGAGACAATCGACATTAATTTTACGAACATTTGATTTGTAGTATCAACGGTCACACTTATTTTGTTCATAAGTGAGCTGCAATTTTAAAGACACAACGGTAATGAGGTGCTCGATTGTTCGAGTCTATATAAATTTAATCCCATGGTTGTGAGTGGATTCCAAATATAGACAGTTTGACTAGCAGTCCGTACACTTGTCTATGGAATATTTCAAGTTCGGTCGTACACGGGATCTTGTATGTGTGAGTTGCGGACAGGCGCACAAAGGTTTTCTTGTTGCAGACTTTAAGAACAGCGCTGGCGAGTTGTTCCTCCTCTATGTTTCTTGGGGAGCCTCACTTGTATAGCCGAGGGCAGCTTCCGGACTTTCACACTGGCAGCCAAACAAGCAAGGCAAAGGTGCCAAAGACGTTCACATGCGTGAGCTTGACTTAAAATGACGGAATGCAGCGCGTAACAAACATCCAAGCGAAACTAGGCTTACAAACGATTAGATAAAGGGAACCCCGAAATTCCTTCCTTTTTTTTAGACATTTTCGTTGTGCAAAGAATGGAGAGATAATAGAACCTGATCAGGACTCAAAAATGAGCTATTTATGAGAGATTGACCCTGGCTACTGAGAACTACCTAGGGTCAAGTAGCTTGCGGTGAATATCGGGTACGCGCCCTCCTACCTTCTATTATGCGATGTTTTTTCCGATACGAATTTCGCCACCAAGCTATATTACCGAATTAGTAACAAGCGTTTACGTCTGGGTAGATTATTCTACTCTCGAAAACAATAATAAGTAAGTAATAAGTAATAAGCTACAGTAAATAAGGTAGGAGTGACCGTACCCACTAAATGGGACTTATGTCGTCTATGTGGCCAAATATTCAGTTCCGTAGTTTACACTCGACCTGAACACCACGCGTCCGATAACCCACTTATACACATGTCGCACATGAACCACCTACGAAAAATCTCAAACCCCACGCCTCCTTCATGGGGACCTAGAGAAACGGGAAAATTATCTGGCTGTTAACGATCAGACAGATTCCTACAGACTAGGCTAAATTGAGTGAAACCAACTAATCCACAGATGCCCAGTGTTAGAGCAAAGAAACCTGATGACCATCGGTCAGGACTAGACCGGCCGTGGGTTGTCGAAGGGTTTTCAGCATGCTTAGTATGCTCCGTTAAGAAAGCAATAGATTGGTGTTAGACAAATATTCTCATTTGTAAACTAATTTTGTTCTGACAGCAGACTCAACTAAATCCAGCTGGATCTCTCGTTTATGATAGTCTACTTAAACTGAATGTGCTGTCGGCTCATGTTTCAGTTGGTACGATATTCGATATATTGCAGTATACTGTATGGACATAACACAATACTCGTACGCTTGCTGAACTCTTCGACAGCCCATGATCGCTTTCACCTTTAATGGGGCTCATCAGGTAGGCGCACTCGCCGAGTTCCCGTCAGCCTTATATTCTAATGGAACCCAAGTTGGACAGACTTTGACGGATGCCTTATTTGCACACGAATTTGGTTTCAACAGGAGACTCAGCTGATGAGACTCAAGAGCGGTGACAAGATCATGGGTTGCCGAAGGGTTTTCAGCAACCTTATGATGACATTAGATGACATTTAAATGACATTTAAATCTCTTGTCAAGACCAAATTAGTGTGCAGTTGAGAGTATATGTCAAAAGTGGGGTTCAATTAGAACAAGGTTGATGGGTGAGACTCAAGAACGGTGACAAGATCATGGGTTGCCGAAGGGTTTTCAGCAACCTTATGATGACATTAGATGACATTTAAATGACATTTAAATCTCTTGTCAAGACCAAATTAGTGTGCAGTTGAGAGTATATGTCAAAAGTGGGGTTCAATTAGAACAAGGTTGATGGGAACTCAAGGATTGGGTTTAACTGATGAGCCCCAAGAATTGTTGTCGAAGAGTTTCCAACATCCTTATGAGTAGTGTGGACAATAGACCAAATTACTTCACCATGCGTTTTCTCGGAAGGGGAGTCGACAGAAAGAGATAGGGAGACCGGAGTGTTGCTGATGGATGAATACAACTGTGCTTGAAATTTCAGTCTCTGGATCATGTCCACTACCATTTTGGATATGGTGAAGAGTTTCAACATTGAATAATAAACCCGTGGAGAAAGAAAAGCGGTTGTTTGCAAGAAGCAGCACTTCAACCGACGATATCACCTTGACTGGTGAAGAAATCTTTGAGACCAAATTAACGGCCACCAGTACGACCTGAGTTACTAACATTTTCCTCGATCGCACGGGATATCCAAAACTGAGGGGAGACGATCGGAGGCGTGAGAACTCTTGGCGCCAGACCGCATGTCGCCCTACTGTACAAAACAAAGGAATAATGTTAGGCTGTAAAACAGCTGGCACGTGTCATGGATGGTCCATTCTAAAAGTATTCTCCCCTCTCCATTGCGGCCACCTCCCTGACAGGACGGAGAGAGCATTCCAGATCACCATTATCAAGATCAATATCAAACACTGTGACCAGACTGGCCAACGGCTGCTGCGAGAGGTGTGTTTTTCACGGGCGGGGACTTCGATCATAGCTGACTAAGTCGCTGCGCAATCCTCTTGATGGGTATTATATCGTAAAGAAGACGCTACAGTGATTAATTCAGAGTCCATAGAGTCCTATGACGCGCTCGTGTCCAGGTCAATAGCCACATACGCCTTGCACAAAGGAATATAGGGAGATGCGTTGTATTTGTAGGAGCAGAAATCAAACGGAGAATGGGAGCAGCAAAAAATCAAGCAAAGGTGCCGACCATGATTCCTGTCTAACAACTTCCGGACTTGCATACGTTTACCGTTATTTCGATCGATCCTATACAATACAGGACTTACCTCGCTCATGTCGGGCAGTTGTTGTTGTAAATTCATTTGCTGAAGCTCCTTCTGCAACTCCGGGTCGTTTGTGTTCACCATTTTTGTCAGGACCATTACCAGCAAGAATGGAACAAGGACGTACAGAACATTTGGGTTGAAGAGAAGGTCGATCGTGCGTAACTGTTCCCTTGGCTGTTATTGTGTCAGTGGGGCGATGACAGGGAAGGTGGATGGGAAGTTTCGTGAGGCAATCAAGGAAATAGCGCTAAACTGAAAGCGAATCAATTAAACGGAAAATCCGCTGTAAGACAGCTTTTGGTGGGATCCGAAGGTTAGTCAGTGATAAATGGCTCACCATTACGTTCCAGGCGCTCGGTTGGTTGAACCGTCTAGTCATTACCAACATCATCCTGCCCGACGCGCTTACAATGATGCCAAGTCTCACCGACAAGGTAACTCGGATAATGCTCGTAGCTACTACGGACCAGCCCCCTGGCGACAGGAGTTCATGATAGGGCAACCAAAGACAGGAGGCAAAATCCGTGTAAAGTAGTTTTGAAGGCTACGTTTGATGTTCTTTGCCATTAAAATGTGCCTGATTTAGGTGTCATCCGAGATGAGACGACTGTGCGTGCGACTAGTCTCAAAAGCAGTCTGGTCGGCTTACAGAAGCCATACTTAAGGAAGCATCCGTAGATTATCGCACTAGACATTGTTCCGCAGCGGCGTCTAGTAACTGATCCTAGGGAAGAAAATGTCAGAAAATTCAGTTGCCTGCTTGAAGATTGGACTTCGAGTTGGAGCCGCTTCCCACTCAACAAGGAACGTGAGACGGGTGACCTGTTTTGCGAAATGAATTTTTCCTACATGTGATGTCTGCAAGCAGGAAAATGGATATCGGGGTAGGAACGCCAGCTTGACGTTACTGAGCTGTAGAGGTGGATGTTCGCCAGCTTCAGCGAGTTATTTAGCTTTTGTTTCAGGAGGCCGACCGTTTTTAGCATTTCTTCCACTGTGCAGACAAAAACGATGTATGTAGCCTGATTGATTGTGTCAAATGCGCCTAAACGAGAACTCAAGAATTTTACTGACAGTTTCTTCCTTCCAGATACGTTCGGCGAGAATCCCTTAACTGATTATGATCTGAATTTGAGTCATTCAAATACCAAACTGGGATGTTATTTTCCCCTGTGGTTTAGTTCGAACACCGCCAGTTAATCCTCCAGAGAAAAAGTTTCACCGAGAAGTGATTGTTCGGTGGCCTAACAACAAGTGTTATTTTACCCGAATGATGACCTTCCCACCTCGTGTGACCACCACCAGTGCTGTAACTGCTAATGGACGACTGCGTTGTCTGACTGGTTCGGGGAGAAAAATAACGGCTGGGAAGCTGACGCATCCAGCTACAACAGGTATGGCCTAAGATGGGCAAGATGTCACATCAGATGAACACAGGGATATGAAAACACCAGCATCAGTCCAAGGGGCCACCACAATTGGCGGACTGAATACGTTAGCCAATCCCCAAATTTGTCGTGGTAACTGAAAAAATAACAGTGATCGTTCGACCTTTTGCTAACACTGCCGGGACCAGCGACATGGTATGGACTCACGAAATGCTGCTTGGTAACGATGGCGCAATGAGTCAGCAGCGATCGTATGTAGGAGACTCCGAACTGCTCGGTAGTAGCCTTGAACAACATAGGGTCGGAACACCTCATATCCCGTAACGAATAACTCACGATCTTGTCATGGTACCGTTCGAGCCCGGGGAAGAGGACTATCAGTTCGAATCCAGCATCAACAACGCCGCTTTTAATTTGTTTTTTACCAGTCCCAAGGTGTAACAAAATCGAGAGCACCACTGAGCACTAATCTCACAGTTGGTGCCAAAAAGTACTATGGTCCACCTTGCGAATGGGTTAACCTGGTGACCTCTGGAAAGGTGAAGGCAAATTATCTGTAGCACACTATTGAGGCTACCTAATGAATGCAAATGAAGTGAACAACGTGCTTCAGCGAATACTGCAGAGCTCTATTCTCTCTTCCCACCGAGTTCTTTGGGTGTGTATTTGACCTGACCCAATTAAGGCTCACTTTACCCAAAGATAAGAAATTATGTTCAAACAAGAAACACACCTTGAAATACACTGCCTTTCCGTGAGTTGACAGTTTCAGTGGGTAGGGTAGTTCATCCACTGCGTTTGGCTGAGGAGCATTTACGCGACGAGCTCGAATTCGACCTTTGGAATTAATATCGACACGAGCGGTCTGTAACAAGAAGAGTAGTGATCAGATAAGTCAGATGTAGAGAGCAGAATTATTACATCCACTAGGAAAAAGGACTGACGAATTGCTGTGATGTCACAACACCAGGAGCTCCTATGAAATGAAATGCCTAAGAAATGGTCAGGCTGCTTCTGTCACGAAGAACATCCCATATGTATCCACCTTAACATCGCGTTAACACCAGCTATCAACACTTGTTACTCTCTTTATTGGTATAGAGCGACCTAACCGTCCCTGACCGTCACGAAGAGACTGGACCTTATCGTGGTGTGATGGTTTGCGCACCTCAGCGACCAATTAAGCTATATTGGGGTTGTCCCCGCGACACTCACAGTCTTTCATACCAGGTTGGTCAATGGTTAGAGGTGTGACGAACACAGTCTCCTGGTCCTCGAGGTTGGGGGTTAGAACATGTGGCTACTTGTTCCGTAGAAATGGTAATGCATTTGCGTTTCCTGCCAAACACCGCTGACTTGCGGTTAGGCTTTTGAGCCAAAGGCTTTGGTTTTAGCCCCTATTCGTCCTCCTGTCTAGGTGTGGGTGCCCCGACAGTATCCGAGCACACGTACAACCATGATATCTACGTCTGTAAGGCAGCGAAGCATCGGTGTTGAACACTGATGTCATGCTGTCGATGATGATGATGAACCATCTTTGAAAGAGAGGCTGTGCGTTGAATAATCGGTCCTCCTCATTTGGGCACGATATAAAACGTGAAAATAAAATCCTCCTACCTCTAAGGAACCATAAATGACCCGGCGCGTGGGCCTTCCAGTTGAGAAATCACCCGAGGAGCCATTACACACGTAACCGTGTGATAGGAATTCCGAGACTAAAGAACGAGTGTAGCTATATTGGCTAAGTGCGAGCTAATCTCATAGTTGATCAACTGCCTGTGGCCGGAAGGTTTAGTATTAAAGTGCTAGCCGGGATGATGCGAGTTTGAACCTCCCAGAAGATTCGTTAAATGCGCGTTGATGGTGACTGCTTACAAAGATGAAACGACTGTAGGATGCTTCTTCACTTTCCAGGGTAGATTTATTTCACCTGCGGAATGAAACCTCTACCGGGAAGTGTAGAAACCAGTTGCGTCCAGGCACGATCAGTTTATTAGCAGTCAACCTGTAAGACGCAGCATCAGACGCACCACTATCAGACATATCAAACTTGCAACTTTGGACCTTAGGTTTCATGCAGTTAGAATGAGATAACAGATGTGCACTATCAACCTAAAGCCGTCACCCTGTCGTAGTGGTCGGACTTCTGTCCTACAACGATCCTGCGGAGTACACTGAGTGAAACTCAGTGCCTAAAGGTTCAACCATGCCAGAAGGGTAACGGGAAGCATCCCGACTGCAGGAAACCGTACTACTAGGTAATCTGGATGTAAATACATGCCGTCTCTGCGATGGCAGCAAGGCGTTCTCTTCAGGCGACCAGCATGTTTAAATTTATCGAATCAGCGATGCTGTCTTCCTCTCAAGAAGGACGGGTCAGAAAAGGTCGGCACATTCCGATCGCCCAATGGTTGACCGTGACCGCCAACGTATTATTTAGTACCGTCCAAGTACTTTGAAAACCAAGGACTCTAGTCCGATCGCCAATGGTTGACCGTGACCGCCAACGTATTATTTAGTACCGTCCAAGTACTTTGAAAACCAAGGACTCTAGCGCTATTTAAAAGCCACCTGAAATGCAAAGCCGCTTTAGGATTCAGACAATTATGCCTTACGCTCTGCGCCATCCATCTACAGCCGAGTGCGTCAGACCATCGAGTCAACAGCTCCGGGAACGGTCCCTCAAGAAAACCCCAACAACCGCTGTCTTACGATTCAGACTTTTGAGTCAAAGGCCAGTGAAACGGTGCCGAATAAAAGCCATGCATCTTTCCACTGCTTCGTGAGACAAACTTTCAAGTCAAAACCTCCAGATGAGATAGCTTAACCAAACCCGCTTATTCGGCCTGAACAACGGGGAATTACCATCCGCCCTTCGTTCAGACTCCTCCCCCCACGTCCCTCACCCAAGTCCTCCTTTTTTTAGCTGCCAATCACCTAACTGTTGTTCCGTTCCTAAGCTTCTGGCCTGAGCAAATTCAAGGGATCTGTCCCACATTGTTGCTTTCAACATGCGTACCCTGTGTAGAATTCGGGAACAGCTCTTGCTCAGACCTTGTCTTTTCTTCCGATCAATATATGTTGTCTCCAAAACACATACATGACCCTAGTTCGATTATATATTTCACTTACACAAAGAAAACTAGCGAAAAAAGTCCAACAGTCTCAAGAGTCCCTCGAACAACCGTACACAGAAATTACCTTTAAAGCTTATCTGTTGTTCAGATTCCACCCTAACGTAGAGCAAAGCCCTCAACGATTATCTCTTGACAGTGAACGCTTTCGGTCTGTCTACCAGAAATCCCTTATGATCCTTGTAAAATGTTTCCGAATTTTTGGTGAGGACTTCTGGCGCAAACTGATCCCACCACAGCAAGTATGCATTTCTGCCATATTTATAAACATCTAGAATTCATACCATGTCCAGATTCCACGCTTTCGGAGGAGCTGCTGGAGGTCACTGTAAAGAGGCTTTATAAAGTCGCCAAAGCAATCCGATAAATGAAAGAACCAAATCCAGGTGTGATCAGAAAGCACAAATGAGTAGGGAGAAAAGGTGATTACTGAATCGTTTGTAGGACAGAGGTTATCCAGAAGATAACCAATAACCTATGACCCGCCTTCCTTGAGCGCCAAACATATCTCGGTTATCAGTTAATCACTTGGTTCTTATTGCCATCGGGCTACTTAATGAGGAAATTTAGCCGTTAGCACCCACTATGTGAACCTGGCTTTATGCGCCGTGCACTGTTGGCTGGGAGTAGTCGTCTAACGTGAAACTGCATCACTCTAGCCTCGCCGCAACACAATATTTGATATGCAGGTTGAGAGTACTACCAAGCCAGTGGTTCACGAAGTAGGTGCCAGTTGTGACAGAAAAGTGCAACTAGCCAAGGTAGCCAGTTACCAATTTCCACTCAAGAGGGGGATTGCTTTCTTCCACATTAGCTGAGTATTCAGGCTTTAAATATCCTTCTTAATTAGCTATCAGCTAATGATCAAGACAAATGGCCAGTCATAAGAGTTCAAAACCTATCATTATTGGGCTCTTTATATAATCCGACATCGTTTAATCTGATAAACTTAGCATTTTCTGACCACTGGATGGATATACCCGTTATACTGAAATAAAGGGTATCCAGTCCATGAGCTCCCGTTTGAGTTTGCGTTCTCTAATAGTGGATAACAGACATTAGCTAGACACGCACCCAGGGAGGCATGAAATATTAGTAACGCTACGCGAAGGTTAGTGGTGAGGAGATACTTCGAGTTACGAAATGTAGTGTCCCATTTTGTTCGGAGCAGACAGACCTCGCTTGGGTAAAATTTCGATAAATTTGTCTACAATATGAACTTTAGGTTGATCAATAGCAGGAATTGCGATCCGCTTTTATTATGCCCCAAGCATTCTTCACTGGATTACAGCCAAGTTCATAGGTTGAACTAACAGCCAAGATTTTGTGAGGATGATCCAGAGTGAACTGCTCAGCAGGGTTTCAGAAGGAGGAAACCCTAAAACAAAAGCTGTGACCTCCAAATCATCAAACTTCTTGTGCCACACCGGGGTAGCGCATTTCTCAGCCTACTGTACAACCGAAATCACGGCTGTAGAAATGCGGTCGTAAACCACTGAAGAGAAAGTCCTGCGTTTAGAAGCGTCTCCCCCTAACAACCGTGATGAATATTTACTTAAACCAAACAAGGATTGTTTCAATTATTGAACTTTGTTTCCATTCCACACTACCCTTCGCCAAAATCTGACAAGTGCCGGCACTTGCACGCCAGTTTTTGAGCTGTGAACATCTAGGAATGTTAGTTATCTATTTCGGACATGCAAGCATTTCACTCCAAACCCAGACACTTCTGTTGCGTGAGTCCAAAATCCGTCCTACTGGACATCAGTGACGCCGCGTTTGAGATGGGTCCGACCTAACTTGTTCGCTTTGACACCATTCGATGCGAAATGTACCGACTGCAGACAGGGACAAGATGGCTCGGTGGTTAAAGCGCGAACTTACTTATCAGAAGGTTCGAAATTCGAATCCAACCTCTGTAACGCGACTTGTCTTATATGGGCTTGGGCAACCTGGCAGTATCCCAACCCGTGTGTTTCCCCCGAATGGCATGGCAGCTAAGCGCCGAAAGGGTGTTACAGGAGAACTGTGACGATTATGACCGCAGGCACTTTATCAGAGTTGATGTCTAGCCTTATTTAGTAGCTATTGCTGTGAAAGATGTGTGCAAGCTTGCTTAGTCCGTATCTTGGGTTCTTGTATGCTCAAGTTGGGAAGCTGACCTCCGCTGCTATCAAAAACGTATCATAGTGAAGAGCTGAAATCTCTACTTTTTCAATAAGATTACAAGTTTGACTCTGTTTTTTAATCCGTCTTTCCAATTCACACCATCTTAACCAACAGAAAGGCCAAGTTAACGTGCATCACGAATAGCCTTAGAGTTTGTGTGGTGCAGCTCCTCTGTAGCCTGCATGCTGTGCCCTGTGAGTGGTATATCTGGTTGCAGTGACAAGCAAAATAGGCGTTCCTTAAGCATGTTTTGAAACGTTCTACAGTCACCCGTACCGCTGTCCGGCGGTATATGTTTCGGAAATTCGTCTGATAACCAAGAACTTCTCGCAAAAACACCGGTTCATGTGTTTGTCCTGGTTTTACGAAAAACATCACTGGATGCCGTAAGGCAGCCGTGACACAAAGCAAAAGTGCAAAACGTACCTGGAAAATGAAGCTCGGGTGAATAGGCTCAATCAGATAGGAACCCGAAGGAACACCAGAAACCTGGAAAGTTCCATCAGATCGGACAAAGCCCACATATTGAGAGCCATCAACATGAATACGCGTATGCGCGTGCCAGTCCATAGGTGCGTCAACAGGTGGTGTAAGGGATCCTTCAATTACGTAAGCATCAGTGAGGGTAACGCTAAACGAAATCGCTAGGAGAATAGCAGTCACCATTACAGTGCGTTTACCTGTATAACAGAAACAGCAGTTTGGTAAGATGATCGCCGAAAGTAAATCAGCATCATAAATGAAAACATCAAGGAATTGATCAAACCAGATAATTTATTAACACCGACAGTAAATCAGTGTGCGATATTTACGTTTCGCTGCCGTACAACCGTATGTTCAATTGTGAAGAAATGGATGGGAAAGGGACCTAGTGCTAGCCTACCACAATCGGCCGCGAAACCTGTGCCTTCTCTTTTTGAAACACGAGAACGATGCAGTTTGCATATTCCAGATCGACAAGGTTTGCACCCGCAGCTATTTGGACACCAATGGAGACATGGAGTTTGTCTCGTTATCTCAACGACTAAGAAATTCGGCAGGATTGGAAAGAATGGTCCTCTCTGTAGGCTATCCCTAGGTCCCCCTCCCCGCCCTATTTCCTTCCTCTTTCCATCACAAGGATTTGTTGAAATAAATAGACAAGGCCGTACCGCAGTGAAGCACAAGTATTCTCATCTGGTGTTGCGACCAACGGTAATGTTGATGATGACTGACCGAATACAACTTCTCGTACACAAGCCTTCGCATTAGGCACGAATGAATTATTCATTACCTTCCCGAGGTATTCCTTGCTGAACAATTGTATTCCGAAGAACTGATCGTTTAAAGGAACCAAATCTACCTTGGAATAACACAATTTTGGGTAGGGTATGGATACGGCGTTATTCAAGCATCTAACAACGCAGTCCCTAACCAGCCCTAAATCCTGCTTGCTGCTCTCGCAGCAGTGATCCAAGGGACATGGTTGGGCGACGAGTGACAGGTGACATCGAGTCCGTTATAAATGGAGTCAAACTGATTCCTCCGTGATTACCGCATTTACTTGTAGCGCCCATTTTTTAAATGAAGGGTACTATTGAAGCTACTATCCAGTTGCCTAAGATGATCTACTTTTCCCAAATAAAGGTAAATAAACCAGACAAACGCTGTCTGAAGCTTCACCCTCGTCCCTGAACAGTACGGGTGGCGGTCGAGTACGAGGACCGGTCGTACGGATTAATCACCGGACACTCATGTCAATTCCTTTGCATCTACCATCACCCCATTTCAATTAAAGTCCAACAATTTGTCATCGTCATCATCATCGACAGCATGACATCAGTGCTCAACACCGATGCTTCGCTACCGTACAACCATGATTTATTGGAAAGCCTTATTGTGAATGAAAGAACAAAAGTGAATGGGGGAAAGGAAATAGTGGATCACTACAATCATTCCGAGGTGCCTACACCTCATGACACTCATTCAGGCATTCTGGATGAAAACTGACAAGAAAGCCACTGACATCGGTTGGCGGCCATATCCTGCAGCGTCTCCAGCCAGGAGCAGTGAGGATCACGCGGTCCCCCATCCTAGAAGGCGAGTCGCACCGAAAGCACCCAGACGTTTCTCAATCTCCTTCACATCTCTCTGCTCAATGTTTGGAGCGCGAGTTTACTGGCCTGAAGGTCCGTCGTTCAAATCCGACCTATGCCTCTCGACTTCCTCTGTCTAGGCTTGAGCAATCTGGCAGTATCCCAGCCCTCATGCTTCATTCTGGTGGCATGGCAGTTAGGCACCGAAAGGGTGCCACAGCTGAACGAGTTATTCATACCCCTGTCAGGTCAAGGGTTGGTCACCTCTCTGCTTCCGCCACTCTGAGTTGGACATGGAAAACAGCATTATCTTCGGCAAACGACGGCTAGATATAGGCAACACGTGTTCCAACCAACGCAGCTTCTGGTGCTGGACACATTCTTTAATGGAAGTATCCGTTGCACAATCGAAAACACGCTTTCTAACTGCCTCGTTACGGATTCGCCGACACCAACCCACACGAGCTATGGTTATGAGACAACGATTGTCGAACACCTGAAGACATCTCACTTTCGCTGCCCGAACAGGCTGATTCTCACATCCATACAACAAAACATCCCGCACTGTAGCTTGATACACACGTCCCTTGATACTCAGTGGTGCACAACTCTGACGCCATAGGTGTCTTATATGAGGTCAATGCACAAGTCTGCAATGCCTGAGTCGCATTCGCTATGTTCACAAACCTTCGGGGCATTCCTTGGTGGGCAAGTGTCAAGAATAACAGACTGGTCAATTGAGTCGAATGCGAGTTCAAAATCCAGGAATACTGGAACCGTGGGTAGCTTATACGTGTGGTGTTGTTCTAGAACCTGACGGAGTGTGGAGACGTGGTACACGCAACCCCTACCAGACCATAATCCCGCTTGCTGCTCTCGAGTCAGTGTTTCACGAGCCACTGTAAGGTGACGAAGCAGCAGTGACGCCTAGTCTCGTTACGACCGGGCCAAGCCGATCCTTTTGTGGTTACCATACTCACTACGGCCCCTTTTTTGAAAATAGGCACTATCACCGACTCTCCCTAGCTGTCTGCGACAGACTCCTTTTCCCAAATGCAAGCAAACAGATCGTAAAAGCCCTAATTGAGGACTTCACCCCTATCTTTGAACAATGGGGGTGGGATGTCATATGGAAAGAAAAGAAAGAAAGCGTTCAGCTGTAGCACCCCTCCGGTGCCTAGCTGCCATACCACCCGGAGAAAGCACGAGGGCTGGGATACTGCCAGGTTGCCCAAGCCTAGACAGAAGTCGAGTGGCGGATGTCGGATTCGAACCACGGACCTTCCGGTCAGTAAATTCGCGCTCTAACCACTTGGGCCGTCTCGCCCCAGACGGACCAGAGGCTCAGTTTTGCTTGAGAGAACATATGCAGTCGTAAACCTCCGACGTGGTCCCACGGTCACCGTCCAGGGTTCTAGGTCAACTATGGGCTCCAGATAAGTGGAAGCTGGCGAAAACGAAAATTGTTGTTCGAAGTATTCGGCCCACCGGTCGAGGGACTCATCTTTACTCAAGACGATCACCCCTTTCCGATTCCTGTTGGTTTCGCCCACGGGTGGTTTCCGGGGATCGGCCACACGGACCAACTGAAGTAATCTTCGGGCGTTACCGGACTTCTGCGTCCACTGCACTTCACGGTCAGCTCGTACGCTCGCTTTCACTTGACGTCTGGTAATTCGTCCGGTCAAGTTATATTCGGGCTTGGTTGTTTCTCCGAGAGTTAAGCAGTGCTATCGTTCGGTCTGATATCCAGTGCCAGTATGAGTTCACACCTGATGATGGAGCATTTGGAAGAGACTCTAGGTGAACCTGATAGATTCGTCTAACACCTGGATGTCAGTCTCTCAGTTGCCAAGCGATTTGTCCGCACCCTACGCGGCCCTGGAAAACATAGGAAGAAGCGACTCCGGACGAACGCGTGGTAGGAATCCACAAATGTGTTCCAAAACGACCGGCAGCCAGTTATTGATCCACACCATCGGTAATGATGGCAATGTGGTCAATTTGAGTTTTTGGCCGGTATGCCGTTGAAGCACACCATGTGGCCAGCTATTTCGGAAGTTAGTACTGCATAAAAACAGCATATGATCAGCACACAGCTGAAGCGACTGCTCACCATTGTCCGTACGTACCGAGTCCAATCTACGTCGACCTCCTAATTAAGCCTGCCTCCTGAGCCTGCCCACTTGTGCATTCATAGCTCCACAACATCTGAGCTTTTACCTCGCTGCAACAGGGCAATCAGGGCGTCGCAAAACCTGTCTTCGACGGCGTCGGAGCCACAGTCAGCTAGGGCGTAAACAGACAAGATAAACATATGTCGATTAACTTTCCGTCTGTGAGACTCCTTCACAGAGGTTGCTAGACGAACCGCACAGAGGGGACTGTCAGCAGGTATCCAGTTAAGCATGGATACTTCCGCTCGGTGACTTAGGACGATACCAACCTCTGCACATCCCGCTGCAGCGACCTCTGGATCAGCGCAAGTGCATAGTTGGAAGCGAGTGGGGACTAATGAAGCGGTAAGCTCGACCAACGTGCTTGCATTTTGACTTCATGTTTCTGAGACACAACACATATCAATACCAAGCGAATGCAGTGTGAGAGCAAAAGCAGCTTGTTGTCCTGCTCGTTTCAGAGTGCGGATATTGCAGGCGGCTAGACAGATATGGCGTCGAGGTTCCAAGATTGATTTTGAGATATCTGAAGATGTCGGCCTTACGTGACGAGCAGGTGTTGCACGCAAAACCGATGCACCACGAACGAAGTCATCAATCGCAAGTTCTGGGCCTACAAAAGGAGAGTTACTAATAGGGTGGAAAGAGGGGGAGAAAAGGCGTGTGAGAAAGAAGGGAGGCACCAGCAGTATCTTGTTTTCGCTTACTTGCCCTGCTGTATGCATCGAGTAAGGCGACCCGGCTGATGGCACCACGCGACGGCCGATGTGGCATGAGTTTATTTGTATATGTGCAGTTCATGATTGTACGCGAGCTGGGATAGTGTCAGGGCACCTTTTCGAGAGCCACTGAGCCATATCGCCTTTACACCAGCTATTTGCTGACAATAGACTGACCTTATGCTGTACTAACTTCAAAAATAACCAAAATAGTCCGGTCTCATGGTACTTAGTTCTCAGTCTGAGCCTACCAACCTAGCGTTTTTCACGGACTAATACACGGGATCGAGGCTTTTGTCCAAGTTTCCCGGGTCGCTTTTGTTCTTGTCGGTCAGTGGCGGTCGTTCACCTGAAAGGCACAAGTGAAAAAAGGTGTAGCGCTGCTCTTTATGTTCTCAGCGCGGGGCAGTATGCTTGCCAGCGCAAAGATTCCAATAAATAAATGTGCTTTGAACTGGGTTCTAGGAGGAGCGCGGACAACCGTCGGAGGAAGGCCACCCCACGTTCATATCAAAACAACTACCAAAGTTGCACAAGGTATACCAACCACTTCTACAGAGCTTCAACCATACAGCGTAAGCGGTAATAGCTCTCCGAAATTTCTGACGCGTTCTGGATGCGGCATTGGCAACCGGCATTCGACCAATACCGGGTACTGATTAGCTGTTGGGCCCAGATTTTCGACCAATAAGATCTCGGTTTGATTCACGGAATGGAAAGCGTCACATTTTTTGGCCAGCCTTGCGTGGGATGGACTTCCGGGCCGTAGCAGCACCTGAGTGTGTGTGATGAACATGACTGATGCTCTATTCATTGCTCCATTCATTCATTTCTTGTTTTAATATTCCATATGCTGTACATATTCGCCAATTCGAATATATACGTGCTGGTTGCCACTCTTCGCTGAATTCTGGATTTTCTAGTTCGTTGTACCGATATACGTACGAAACTTAATTACCACATTTTGGCGTCGCGATTGGAACAATTCATCATGCCTGCCGAAATGGAATGGAAAGATGTTAATTCAACTGCGCGTGACGTAGAGGATTATTTGGAACGATTCGACATATGGTGCCTCACAAAATCCGATATAGATGATAAGAAACTCACTGCATATTTCCTGCATTTCGTTGGCAAGGAGGCGTATACTTTAATCAAGAATTCAGTATATCCTGAATCTCCAATTGATATTTCTTACACTGCATTGAAAAACAAAGTTCTTCAACACTTCAAACCGATTAACTTTGTAGCAGCCGAAAGAGCTAAGTTCA